GGTTTTTTTACTCTTTTGCACTGCCTGAAAAAGTGGAGGCAGTTCAGCTTTATTGACCATATTGCAACCTAGCAAAGGAAGAGTCAGAGAAAAGACCCAGGGTACTGTGAGCCAAGCCGATATTATTAACCAGTTTTTATTTTTATAGAAACAGTAAGTAAAACAAAATGCCCCCTTTTTCTCTCTCTTTCTATTTTTTCCCTTTAAATTAACTGTTTCCAAAGCTACCAAAGTACTGTTTTGGCCATTCAACTTCAGGAGAATCTTCTTGCTCATGCCATGTCCAGCATTTGTGTTTATTCAAGACTGAGGGAAGAGCAATGTCAAAGAGAACCTGGCTTGAGAACTATTTGTTTTTGAAGGTTCTGTGAGCTTATTGCCCTTTCCCATGTACTATTATCCTTCTGTTTTAATCAGGCAAAAATGCTAACCCTCAAGAGAGAAGAGCTGCCATGAAGAATGCTGAACAATTCATACAGCAGATGAATTATCCTGCCAACACACAGGTGTGATCTATTTATGGAGGTGGTACCAGGAGAGCCTGAGCTCAGTTAAAAACATTGGGTTTAAGTCAGCAGAAAAAAAATAATATTAAGGGCTTATAAAACTTAAGGGCAGTATTTCACATATAATATAGAAAAGTTTCTGTTTGGGTAACTGTGTCAGTTCTGTTTTCCTTCTGTTTCACGTGTCTTCCTTCATTTCAGATTCAAGTCCTTCCTGAAGGAGGTGAAACACCAATGTTCAAACAGTTTTTCAAAGACTGGAAGGATAAAGATCAAAGTGATGGTTTTGGCAAAGTCTATGTTACAGAGAGAGTGGCTAAAATTGAGCAGATTGAATTTGATGCTACCAAATTACATGAGTCTCCACAAATGGCTGCCCAGCATAACATGATAGATGATGGTTCAGGGAAAGTAGAGGTAATTTTAATGTTGTAATAAATTTTATCTTATTTAACTAATGTATTCTGCTATTTGTAGTGGGCTAAACGGCTACTTTGTGTTTTAATTTTTATACTGTTGTTTAGATTGGCACTATAGTAGTTGTAGCATCACAAAAGATGCTTTGAAGTGGGAGGTGAATATCAGCTGTATGCTGGGTTGTGTCTTTTGGTGCTTATGACAGTCATCAAGAGAAATCAAACACCAGAAATATTACCTCTTTACACAATACCTTGTAAATATTTACTTTAAATAGATTCTTAGTCTAAAGGAAAACCTTCAAGCTCATATCAGCTTGAAGTCTGGAATGGGAAGACTTACACTTGGAATCAGAAATCCATTCTATGTCTTTATTGTAGGTATCCAATCTGGTTTCTAGAGGAACCTTTGTCCCTAGTGTGTCTCTCAGGTAGCCTGGACTTGGAGAGAAAAAAGAAGACTGCACAGTCTTTCTAGACCTTTCCATATCCCACTTCAGGACTATCTTTGGACTACACAGGGCTGGCATGGCATTGTATCAACTTGGCCTGTTGAATGCAAATTGCATGTTGGGCTTCTGGAAGAAAAAGAAGGGATGAATATCTACAGTCTCATCAGTGTATTTTCTAGGTTTCTGACCTCACACTTGGAATGGTACATAGGCTTGAGCAGCCAACTGTTAGCTGAACTGGGCTGTAGTGAATGAAATAGGAAGAAATCTGCTTAACACCACATTATCTGACTGCAGTGTGCCTCTCCAAAATGATATGTTAGTTTAATGATGGATCATAATGTTGTGCCATGTCATTTTGTTACCTTTAGGCGTTAAGAAAGTTTAGCATGGTGTTGTGATCATGTGTGAAAACAGCATCAAGACAAAGAGAAGTGTATTGCAGCCCCTTGTTGATGGTTCTCATTAATTCAGTGAGCACAGAGTGTATTTGCCTACTTCATGAATAATCCTCCCTGTTTCTGTTCAATAACTCTTGGGAACAGAAAGGACACTCAAGGGATAAGATAGTAAAACACTTTGTGAAGAGTCTCAGGATGAAGTTCAGCAATCTCCAGTGATTTCCCTGTTTCCCCAGATCTGGCGTGTGGAAAGCAGTGGCCGAGTTCCTGTGGGACCTGAGACATATGGACAGTTCTATGGGGGTGACTGTTACATTATCCTCTACACTTACCCTAGAGGGAAGATCATCTACACGTGGTATGTTTGGTTGCCTTTGCACAGACCTGCAGTGGGTGGATATTATTTTATGTTGACTTTATGTCCTTTTGAGTAGAACGTATGTAAATATAAGGTTGTTCACTGTGAGTTTGTCATACAGCACAAGCTCTGGGTTACTTTGAAGCTAAATTTAACCATTGTCTTTCTCCTTGTCTTCCTCAGGCAAGGAGCCCATGCTACAAAAGATGAACTGACTGCTTCTGCATTTCTGACTGTTCAGCTAGATCGGTCATTAAATGATCAGGCTGTGCAGGTTAGTTTCTTTTGGATAAAATCCAACAGAGCATGTGATACATGCAAATTTTGATGAGAATTGAAAGGAGGAGCTAGCATTTAAAGACTGGAAATGCCAATTGTTCAGGTCTGTATCAAGCCAAGCACCATGGGATCCTGTTAAAGTTGTCAGAGATTGCCCATTTGAATTGTCCTTTCTGTATGCAGTTGTCCAAAAGAACACAGATATGTCAGAACTTAAAACTGCCTTTTTGTTTCCTTTGATTTCCACTGTTTTAAAATTAGGTTTCAGTCCTGCTAAGACTTACAAACCCTGTGCATAGCCAGTGAAGACTGAATGATAAGACTGTCCCGGGGCAACTCACTCCAAACAGGTCAATAGTGTGGCAGATCAATAGCCATGTGGGAGCTCCCCTGTCTCCTTTTGATTGTGGAGGAAGTTGTGATATTTAGCCCAGACAAGACTCCTGACTTTTAGAGGGCCAAAACTGGGAGAACTGAAAGCCACAAGAAAGACAGAAGAGGAAAGCCTGCTGGAATTGTGCAACAGAGTCTTGCCTCATTGAGAAACATAGCTAGGGCTTTCCCATCCCATAGTGCTTGCAGCTCCATGAAAGCAGGATACACATCCTCACATGCAGAAATGAGATGTGCAAAGCAACTAAACTGGCAACTGGGTGTGAGTAGATAAGCTAGTCCTTAGCTTGATCGGGTGTGTTCTCCTTATATCACTACTAAGAAGGGGCAGGAAGGTGAAGTCCTGAGAGTGAGCTGTAAGATGACAAGGGACAAGCAGAGATTTTCTATGCAGCAGAAGGTAGTTCTGTGATTTCTATTTCTTAATTACAAAAGCGAAAGGCTTCCTCCACCCACCAGGATAGAGTTAATTCAGTCGGCAGCCCATACTTTAGCCACTAATCAGTTATGATTTCTGATTGAAATTATACTAAGGAAGGATTAGAACACATTTAGATAATTACTGCTTGAAATATTCCTAACAAGTGCTCTATTCTTAGACCTTGTCCAGCCCAATGTGGTTCTGCCTCATACCTAAGGCTAATGTTAATCTTAAAGTAATAATAATATTGCTACCATTGTTAACAATATTACTGCTGCAATTGAGGTGCTTAAAAAGTGTTTTTATTAAAGCTGAAGTTCCATTTCACTGCAGTAGACGTGATACTTTAAAAGTACTTTCAGCCTGTAATGAGTTTAGGAATATATATCTGTATGTATCCATATGTGTATATATATATGGACATACGTATGGTATGTGTGCATTTCTATGCAAACAGATAGAATATATTACCTGTGCCTAACATGTCTATCAGCATTATTTGGAAGCTTTAAGTGTGCTATTTTGTGTGATCACTAGATGGCATGACAGTACAAGTCACTATTAAAAGGTTGGGCTTGCAAGAATATGTTTCACTGTGCTGTTTGGGTCATTTGGGGTTTTTTGAGTTTATTTGGGTTGTTTTTTTGGGAGTCTTTTTGTGGTTCGGGGTTTTTGTTTTCCCATTTGTAAAATCCTGCTGCACTTTGTCCCTTACAAGTGTATGTGTCCTAGGCTATCCTTACACAACTGCAGCATCTATCTACCTGTGAAATAAGTAAAAGCACCTGCTTCTGCCCACCTGCAGCTACCCCTTGGCACCCCAGCTCTCAGCTGCCCCAGGCCTCACTGAGGTCTCTCCACTTCTCCTCTGCTGGCTACACAGCATGTCTCATTCCCTCTTCTCCCTTTCTTTCTGGGAATGAAAGGCAAGGACTTGCAGCTCTCTACCTTGGCCAATGGTACTGTTGTAAAGGAAAATTAAATGGTTGCATACAAATAACTTCTATCATACGTTAACTTTAAAATAGTCATTCTTCGTAGTGCAATGTGGTTTCTTTAGATGGCAGTAGCATCTTTTACATCTGTAATGGAAGTTCATTTTCATCATCCATGTTATGCTCTGGATGAGAAATTCATGCTACTCTTTTTCATCCTCTTGCAGATAAAATACATATAGAAATAATGAATAAAATGAACAACCATTCTCTTCTGCTTAAATACAGGCCACTTAAACTTCCAAGACAGTTTTTCAGGAGAATTAAGTCATTCTATAAAACACTATGAAATGACAGTTCTTTTGAAAATGAGTGATTTTTATAGCAGCCATTTTAATCAGCTAAATATTGTGTTGGAACTTTGAATCTTGTCTTTGTGTCACCATGATTGACAAAAACAAAAATCTCACAAATGCTCTAACTCTGTATGTCTGAAGGTATATTTTTAGATCTTTTCAACTTGCCATTTCTCGTTTTTGCTAACACACTTAGCATTGTTGGCTAAGATCCCCATAGCTATTCGGCAAAGACCAAAAATAACCACTTGTGTCCTTTTGTTTATTTTACTGCATTTCTTCACATATGTACAGATCCGAGTCAGTCAAGGCAAAGAGCCTGCACATTTACTGAGCTTGTTCAAAAACAAACCACTTATAGTCTACAAGGATGGGACATCCAAGAAGGAAGGTCAGAAACCTGCTCCACCGACGCGACTCTTCCAAATCCGCAGGAACCTGGCATCCATTACTAGGATTGCAGAGGTAAGGTCACCTGCTAAGTAAAGCAGCCATTCCCAGTGGGAAATGAGAGAGCTGCCGTGAGCTTCCCTGAGTAATCTTGTTGGGTAGTCATATCTGGCAGGAACACAGAACTCCAAATCCAACCCACTGCTCTATTTGATGAACCTGTCCAATAAAGCAAAGAGAATATGCTGTAGCTGGCTGGAATCAGTCTGAATCGTTCAGAGGAGCTGTAAGAATACACACAGTGAACAGTCAGCTGACAAAGAACAGATGAGAAGTCAGCAAATCCTATGAGATGGTCTTTCCTACTGCAAACAGTCCTAAGTTTTGCCCTGCAAGTCAGCTCCCTGTCTTAAATCCTTCTCTAATTTGTATCAATATAAAACTAGGGAAGAACTGAAGACCAAAAGCATAGCAGATTAACATGTCTACACATTTTATGTATAAATATGCAAAATAGTAGTTATATTATCTGAAGATTTGAAGAATAAAACAATTTCTTTTTTTATCTAGGTTGATGTTGATGCAGTGTCACTAAACTCTAATGATGTCTTTGTTCTGAAACTACCAAACAACTCTGGCTACACGTGGATAGGAAAAGGAGCAAGTAAAGAAGAGGAACAAGGAGCTCAGTACATTGCCAATGTTCTCAAATGCCAGACTGCTAACATTAATGAAGGCCAGGAGCCAGGTTCGTATGAGGCCACATGGCTACTAATAGACAGCTGAGAATACACAGCACTGCATGGAGACAGTTGGTTTAGATTAGATATTAGGGAAAAAATCTTTACTGTGAGGGTGGTGAGGCACTGGAACAGGTTGCCCAGAGAAGGATGAGGTGGATGCTTCATCCCTGGAAGTGTTGAAGGCGGGTTTAGATGGAGCTCTGTGCAACCTGATGTACTGAAAGGTGTCCCTGCCCATGGCAGGGGCATTGGAACTAGATGATTTTTAAGGTCCCTTCCAACTCTATGATTCTTCCTAGGTATGCAATTGATATTGATATTTTGACAAACTGCAGGAAGTACTGTTAAGAAAAGTCATTCATCTTTGAGACAGCAAAGAGATTTTTTGGGGATTTCTGAAACACTATCTAAAAAGCTAAAACATCAAATGTTAAATCAGCTGGTGGATAAATTATATATTATGTATTTTAGAGGAATTCTGGAAAGCACTTGGAGGTAAAAAAAATTACCAGACTTCATCCCAGCTATTGACAAAGGCTGAAGATCATCCCCCTCGCTTGTATGGTTGTTCTAATAAGACAGGCAGATTTATTGTGAGTATATTATGGATACTTTCTGTTTAATTATATAGTTTCTGGTATATTTTGCCTTGGAAATCAGTGGTCATTAAATGAATTTGGGGATCTGGCTTAGTTAGCCAGCCTTGGCATGAACTAGAGAGTGGATGTTTGATGCTTTAAGCTAACCAAATACAATGGATGAACAGAATTATTACTGCGGAAGTTTGCATCCAGAACCTGCTCCAGCCTGGAAACAGAGGCTCGCAGATGCAAAATTTGCCCAGTCAAAAGCAATTTCATTCTTGCAAGCATCACCAGATTGCTATCAGTTTGCTGAGAAAGAGCAGGTCAGTGCCTTGCCCCTTACGTGTTTGACAGTGGTGGCAAGGAAAATAAATGTTGCTTGCCAAAAATCCCTAGTCTGAAATTTTCCACAGAGATTTAAGATGTATAATTATGCCTTTAAGGTATTGGCCTGTGCTCAGGGAGGTAGGAAGACCTACTTCCGTGGCAGAAATGCCCAGAGCTATGTACTGGGTATTAAGTCTGTGATTCAGACTTAATTACTTACTGTGTTCTGGAGGGCAATGCTGTGTCACCAGTTGGCAAGGACACACTCATTTTTAGGTAGGGGACATAGCTGGCAGTCTCCTTAAGGCACAGCCCAGTCATTTGGAGAGGGATAAAACAAATAGGATCCTTTAATAAGGACTTCAAAATCTTAAGAGAATAGGAAAGTGTATTCTTCTAACAAGCTTCTAAAATACTTCTGGGAAATACAGTAATAGGAACCAAACTCTATGCAGTAGTCTGCTGGGAGCTATGGATTTACTTTTTATTTTGAGTTCCCTCCAAATTCTGTGAAATCCCCTCTTTCCTGTAGCCTTTCTCTAGTAACTGAATCACCACCATTAGAGGTCCCAGAAGAGGCAGGTGAGACCACTCTGACCTTCTGGCCGCCGTAACACAGGGTGGGGAAAAGGAATGTCTTTTTCACCATCTGGTTATCATCCCTTTAGCACTCCCACATGACCACACATAGCCAAACCCTTGAGAATCCTTTAAAAGTAGGAACCATTAGCTCCATTATTATCTCTCCTTCTCATACAGAATAATATTAAACTGCTTTCTATCTTCCTGCATGTCCTTGGAAGAAGTAAGAAGTCTGCCTTTTCTTTGGGGACGAATCCTCAATGGCTTAGTCAACTGTAATGTCCCATTGTCAAGTGACTGGGAAGCTTGGTTGGGTGTGTATTTCATCTCTGAGCTCACCCACTGCAAACCAAAGCAGTTTCTTTTCCTAATTAATGAATGTAAGCTGCATGAATGTATCAGCTTAGTTGGCTCAAGGTTCCTGGCAGACCTCAGTCCCAGCTTAACAATCGTCAACAATTATAATGTAGATCTTTGCCTCTCCTGAGGATATCTTACCAATTCTGAAAGTCCAAGAGCTGATTTTACAGGACATGCCATTATGTGATTTGTTTTGTTTGCAAGAAACACCTTTAACGCATTCATCAAATCAGTTTAGGGGTTTGATCCTTTAGGAGCCAAAAGAAGTGTTCATCAACCTCTGCTCTTAACCTTATAAAAATAGGTTAGGTCTTTGCAAAATTGTATGCCTTGATGAATCATTAAAAACAAAAAAAAAACACCCTCAAAATGTGTTATCCTTTCTAGATTGAAGAGGTCCCAGGAGAATTCACTCAGGATGATTTGGCTGAAGATGATGTCATGTTGCTGGATGTTTGGGAGCAGGTGAGCTGTGTATCACTGCTTTTTGTGATAGCAAGGATAATTTATTCTTAATCACTTGGTTCGTAAGATGGGAGGAACAATCATCTTGACAGATGTTTTGTTTTCTTTAAATTATATCAAAAGGAGCTGTACTTTTTGAGCTGTATGATGTGCTGGTGTTCACACATACCATTGAATTGCCAAGCATGTGAGACCATGGCAGGCACTTCTTATTTAAACCAATGGAGGCTGCAAGAGTATAAGCCCCAGCAATGTTCTGGAAAGGTTCTCAATAGTGTTTTGACTTCATCACAAAAATTTATTAATTTTTTTAAAAGTTACTTCATTAAATGTATTTAGAATCCACTAAATCCTTGTAGCAGGAGCCACCTACAAAAAGTCCTAGTAGAAAAAGGGATCAGCACTGGATAGACCCTTAAAAAAATTTCTTCATACTAGAAAGTGAATGGAGAGTGACAGAAATAATCTCCATCATTACCCAGTTCACTGAAAACTGAAAATGTGGAGAGCTTTGTGAATGACAGGAAAACTCACTGCAGATTTAGAGAACACATCTGTTTCTCACAGTATATTATCTCTACCCTTCCTCTCCTCTTGGAGGGAAAGAGGAGAAGGCCCACACCTATTTGTCTTCTTCACCCTAACCCTTAAGGAACAAAAGGCTGAGGTTTTTGGAAATAGAAGGAATGTCCATGGTTCATGTGAAAAGGAGTGATGGGGAGTGGTGGGGAAGAGCTGGATGGAAAGTAGTTGGGACATAGCGACTCAGATAAGAAGTCTTGGGACATGTAGCTGGTTTCCAAGCAAATCCTGGAGAGAGAAAAACAGGGTGTGGGGGATTGCAGATCAAGGCTCTGGTTGCTGGGTTTTTCAGTTGGCTATCTAGCAGTCACTCAGGGTAGCACATGTCACAGGGCACAAATGTTGATGTGCGCACAGAGCTCAAACCAAGGACAGTATTACTACCTGCACCCAAAAAGAAATTTCCTTGTAAAAGTTTAAAAGATACCTATGGAAAAGGTAATTAGAGATCCTTCCATCAGAATTAATAAAGGTCTGGCCTTCCAGTGTCACAGAGAGCAGTGAAATTTCAGAGGGCATAACTACACTTTCTCACAAGGGAGAAAAAACCATCAGTTGTGGTTTGTGAGAGTTCTGTATCTCTGCAGTCTTTTCATAGCAGATATTCTTTCTCCTAGAGGAATCAACTGTTTTGTACTTTACCAGCTGTACACAACATCCTTTTAATGCCAGGGGAGTTAAGTCTTTCCTTTGTTTGCAGGTTTTCATCTGGATTGGGAAGGATGCTAATGAAACTGAACGACAGGAATCCGTTAAATCGGGTAAATCAAATAAATTTGGCAGATTTCTGAGTGAAATAGCATCGATATTACTTAACAAAGAGGAAAATATGATGGAGAAGAAATCTAGTTATGTTTACAGTGTCTCAAAGTGCTGAGCTTATTAGGATTTCATACAGAAGATGACTGTTTTCACCTTTAAATGCACTTTAAAACTCTGGAAGTTTATGAAGGATAAAATTAATCAAGATAGCATTATTGGGCTGCAGAGCTTTTTAAATAGTATGTGGGAGAGCCCTATGAAAAGTAAATGCACTGAAAAGAGAAGGAATTTAAAAGGAGGTCCCTACTGACCTGCACCCTCAATAATGTATCTAGAGAAAGGATTGCCAGCAAGTGCCATCCTTCACTCAGTGAAATTTGCAGGAGGAAATTCCAATTACAGAACAAACAGAACAAATCAAGACAATTTATGTGCACGTACTTCCTTGAAAAATCATGTGTCATCCCTGGTGTGACTTAATATAGCTGAGCTATTTTGACAAACTTCTAAAGTTCATGCCGAAAATACTTGCATGTGTTTCCCTGGAGCAGCTGGGGTTACCTGGCTGTGTTTCCATAGGTATTGATGTCATGTTGAGATGTCAAGGGAAACTACACTCACTGGCTTTTACATGGACAAATTGGGAACGAAGCCTGTGCATCCTCACAGCACCAGCAAATGCTTTCTCCTGTTTAAGAGCCAAAACCCAGTTGTATGGCAACAAACTGCTCAGAAAAGCAATCCCTCTGTCCTAACTTCATGGAAAATTCCTTCACTGCCGGCTGGGAAAAATCAACCTTTACCTGATCATCTCATTGCCTTTGAAATAATTAATTGAATACTGTATTATAGCAGCCCTGTGTTCTTTCACTGTAGCTT